CGAATTGTTCGTCACTCTCATAAGTAGGTAACAGTCTAATGTAAGTAGGCAGCACTATATATATAGTGCTGCCTACTCTAGATAAATAAGTCTAAAGGAAGTACCTGATATTCAAAGTATTGTACCAGATACAAAATAAGTTATATACTTGAAGTTGATTTAGAAGTCCTGGTGCACTTGTATGATTACTTTGCAGATTATTCTTTAGCACCAGAAAAGCAGATAATATCAGAAAACTGGCTTAGTCTATATGATAAAAATGTTGGAGAAGGGAAATATATATCTAGAGAAAAGCTAGTTTAGACTCTTTTTACTAAGAAGAATTATATAGTTCATTACCAAGCTCTTCAGACATATATAAAGTTCAGAATGAAGGTTACAAAGATCATAGTGCTCTCAAGTTTAGGCAGTCTTTATAGATGAAGAAATATATTAAGGAAAATATTTGTAAATACAAAATAGCCAAGGCAAATGAAGATGAGTTTGGGGGCATATATTATAAGCTAAAAAATAATGTAGTTAGATAGAGAATATTTGTAAACATATGAGAGTAGAACTACTCTGAACAGAAGAGAATAAAAAAATTAAATGATTAGTAAGTTCGCTATTATTTGTAGGCTTTAAGCAATTTGAGGGAGGTATTACTAGTTCATATGTTAAAGAGCACAGTAATATTAAATAAACCAATCTATATAGGGCAGGTAATTCTTGATATTAGCAAGGCCATAATGTTTAACTTTTGGTATAGTTACATAAAGCCTCGCTATAAAAATAAAGCCTATCTACTTTATACAGACACAGACTTACTTATCATGTGGATAAAAACTGAAGACATATATAAAGATCAAGCAGAGAGGCTAGACATTTTTGATCTTAACTATTTAGACAATTTATTTTTAATAAAGGATGAGACAAAAGGTATACCAATAGGGGAAACAGTATATTTAAAGCCAAAGATATACTTAGTTCTTCCAGCAGAACATGATTTTAAAACTCCCAATGATCCAGATTCTGAAGACTTTAAAAAGAAGTACAGTATCCAAAAGGCAAAAGGTGTAAAGAAATATGTAGTCAAAAGGGAGCTTCGACATGATAAATTTTTAGAATGTTTTAGGAATAAGAAACTAACTTGGCATGACATGTATAGTTTTCGCAGTTATGATCATCAAATATATCTGGAAAGGGTGAATAAAATAGAGTTAAATCTATATAATAACAAATGCTAGATCTTACTTAATAAAATTTAAATCCTTTTCTATAGACATTGGCAAATTAGATTATATAAACACCTAATAGTATTTGAAATATCTCCTGAAGAAGTAGAAAAAAGGGCTATGAAAGCTAAACTTCATGTCAAGACATAGATGTTTTATAACAAATCTATTTTTGAATAAAAAAATTTTCTATTAATTAAAGTTTTTCTTTTGCTATACAAAAAATAGGTGATTATAAGGAAATAGAACTTGTGCAAGTTAAAGTTATAAAAATAGCATTGCGAAAGAGTAAAAAATATGATAATCTTGCGAAAAATTATGGGGACTATTTAAAGAAACTGTGAGCTAAAAAAGATCCAAATAACTATATTAAGATACTCGCAGTAAAGATATTCTCTAAAGAAGAAGCATATAAGAACCCGAAATATATGTGGAGAGATAAGGTTTTACAAAAATTACTAAATTTAGAAAAATCTGCAAGAAAAAAGTCAAAAATAAGCAAACTAATTACTATAAATAGAAATAATCTGCATAAAAAAATCAAAAATAAGCAAACTAAAACCTAACCTATCTATATATATTTTAGAGTTTTAGCATATAGGGTGAAGTTAATAGAAAAAGGACAAATCATTTTTAGTGAAATTTTTTTAATTTTTAAATTAAAATATCTCAACAACTAATTAACCAAATTTGCTCAAAATTTTTTTATTTTAATTTTGAAATTATAAAGAATTAAAATAAAAAAATAATTATTAAATTTAATAAGATAATTGCTAAGATATTTAAGCTTAAAGTCAAGAAAACTTTTACTTAGAAAAAATTTGTCTCTTTTCTATTGACTCCACCTCATATACTGAAAAGCTAGAAAATTATCACAAAAGATATGAAGATAATGATCTCTATAGTAGTTTAGAGAAATTATATAAGCTTTATTATCATATAGCTAAGGAGAAAAATTGCAAAAGGTCAAATAATAAAATAGAACAGATACTCAAAGCAATAGCAATCTAGTTATATTTGGCATAAGTTCAGAAGATTTTCACTAGGCTCTCATATACATGAGACTCAAAATATCTACTATTTTCCTAATGCTATTTTTGAGATTATAATTGAGTGATAGATTTTTATATTAATATTTTTTTCTTATAAATTGGCAGTGTTGAAATAAAATAAAAATCTATAAAGTATATACTCCTTTTTTTACTAATCATTCATGATTATCTGTAAATTGATAGGTTTCTGGCTCATACTTATTAAATAAAAAGTATTTGTTAATGAATAGGATTTAGACCTTTATACTACCGGTAGTATGTTTTATAAAATTCATAGAAAGTTTAAAAATTAATAAATTTATATAATTTTAATAGTAAAGAATTGTTATATGTTTCTTTATTGAATGGTATAATTTTTATTTATATTAATAATATATTTGACAAAAAATTTAAATTTAAAATTTAGCATTATTTAATAATTATCGGTATACTACATGTAGTAACTATTCAATATTATCTAGCGGTTCACTAAAAAAAAATCAAGCTTAGAGTATTTCAAGAATAATAAAATAAATGTTAAATAACATATTTATATAGTTTCTTACCTTGTTGAAACAGTACTATATGTTTCACGAATATGATTTGCCCAGCAATTTGTACAAATTGCATGGGTAATTTGACAGCTACAACAGGTTGTTGTACACTTGTGACACTCTAAACAATGCCGTTGAAGACGTTAGTTTTTTAGTTGCCGGATCACACTTAAGGCTAAAAAAATTATGCTCATAATCATTAGACTCTAATTTTCGCTTATTTTTTGTTCTATCAGCGATTGCTGTATCCAAATAGCAGTCAAAAATTGACTTTACCAAGTGCTTTCGAAAATCAGTATGCTTCATATTTTGTTTGTCTGGAACAAACCTACAATATGCAGAGAAACTATTTGCCTCTGCAACAGTAAAATAAAAAGCAAAAATCTGATCAGCAGAACGTTTTGTTGTAAGTATATCATAATACAAAAGAGCATTATCCTATAAATTGTTAAGAATATCCACAGCTGATCTAAACTCATTAAATTTATCAAAAATAGTTGGCCATTGAAATTTTATACTACTATGACCTTTAATATATCTTGTTATTTCAGTTCCAGGACTTGTTATAGAACAGTTACTAAGTAATACAATATTTTTACGATCATAAATAGAGCATACTGTTAAATCAATACCATCTAACTTTCTAACCCGACTAATTGATGAGCCATATTCATTATTAAGAGTACTTGTAATATCACTAGGAATATTCTTAGGCCAATAACGACGCTTTTTTAGTTGTAAAATAGAGTAAAGTCCATATTTGTATAAAGTTGTATATGCATTAGTATTACCAAACCATGAATCTGCAATTACAGTCCTACCACTATAAAATCATGGCTCTGTTAATCGTAACATAGTTGCTACTGTAGCTGAATAATTTGCAAATTTTTTTTTTTTAGAATGTTTTGGAGGTTCTGAAGGATCTAATTGTAAAAATAAATTAATCCGAGCATCAGCTATAGCTTTAAATTCACAGCCAATTGGATGTGGCTTTCTTGGTATTTTACATTGAAATGAACCTTTATCAAGCTTGCCTATCAATTGACACATTGACTCATCAATACAAAGTGAACTACCAGGCGTAATAGCCTTTGAAAGATTTTCATTAAATGTATCGTGAAACTGCCGTGCAAAATAAAATAGATCATCATTTGTTGTTGCTATATTTGATAATATTAAATATTTAATAATATTTCGAAATCTTTTATGTGATATGTATTGTCCAAATGCAAGTGCAACGCCACCTATTTCTGCTTTTGTGGACCAGTAATCACAAATATCAGAGCATCGTATATATGTCATAATGGTTAAAATACCAACGAAATGTATAAATTCCATCCATGTTAAATCCTTCTATAACTTTTCACTTGCACGTGCACATTGATTTGTGGATGATATCACTACTGATATAATATAATCAACTGGTATAAAACGCTCAAAAAATTGTCTAGATAAAGCATTAGAAATATTGGCAATATTAACAACTAGTTCACTAGAATAAGATCAATGTATTTGACGAGAGTCAATAGTCACAATTGCATCAGTCCATAATGTATTACTTGGATCATTTGTATTACTAACATCTTCTATTTCATTTTCACTTTGGTTACTACTACTAGACATATCTGTTTTAGAACTATAAGTAGATAATTCATCATGTACGTCACTTTTAATATTTGATTCTTCATCATTAGTAACTGCAGTGGCTTCAAACTTTATACGACCTGCTGAAACTTCGATTTTAGCTTCTGGTTGTAATTCAAGGGTAATTACCCAGCGATTATTGCCAGGTGCTTCTCGTAAAATAGTACCAAAAAGCCGACCAGTCTTCCACCTATTTCCAAAATGTGGACAGGCAATATTTTCACCCAAAACCGTACCCAAAACACTAATTTTAGCACCTTCCTTGATATATAGTGAAATACGTCCCATATCTAAGATATCAATTTAAAAATAGGTCTTAAAAAAAAAAATAATAATAAATCGGTTGATAAAAAAAAAAAAAAACAACTATATAATAAATATAATATCAATTATGATTACAGTTAATTTGTTCGGTTTTTAGGTAGGTATTTCAATTTTTACTATGATAATTTTAAATTCATACACATTTTATTGTCAAAATTACTTGTTATTTCAACGACATATTATTGCTATATTTGAGAAACATTCATTAAAATTTGTAATTTTAAAGTCATAAGAAGAAAAGCCAACTTCTAGGCTTGATTTGACGTTCTTTATTGTATTACATTGTTTTTACAATTTAGGTATATGATCGGCCAAATTATTTAAATGCATATGATTTTAAAGAGGTAATTTTTTTTAAATTCGGCCAATTAAATTTGGCCTTTTGTACGTTTTCAGAACTAAATACATGTTATAAATATTAGTATGCGTTAAGCCACATATGAAGATTATACTGTAGTATAATTTAGCTTGGGGTAGCTTTTTTTACCAATAAAAGTAAATTTATTTACTATACTCAATGTAGTATAACATACTACCGGTAGTATAGAGAAATCCAACTCATTAATAAAATCCACATGCTTGATATATACAATAAAACATGTATATATTTAACCCACTTATATCTAGATACTATTGCTGAAATCATCTCAAAACTTCTATTAGAGAATCTAGATAACTGTATTCAAATTAACCACACATAGTATAAAGAAATTTGTCATAAACTTTATAAGAGACATAAAAACTTTAATACAAAATACTATGATTTATTGAAAAAACTAGACAGATGCTATAGAAAATCATATATAAATGATAATGAAATTGAGCCTATATATAATAATGCATTAATAACATTTGATGAGCTCGTAAAAGTAGAAAAGTATTAAATAAAAATATGATCTTCAGTAAAAGAATTAGAAATGTGATATTAAACAATATTGAAGACTATAATTACAGGAACTTTATAGATTTATATAATTTTGAAGAAGATATATTTAAATATATAAGATACCTTGAAACATTTTAAGGTTTCATTCACTATATTAATTATTTTTCAATACTCCTAAGCAAAATTTTTTATTCACAATTATCAATAAAGATTGAATGATCCCTCTCATACTAAATAATTCACAAATGAATAGATCACTGAATTCAAAATTAGTTTTTTTAAATCTGCAAATTAGTTTTGTTAGTTGTGAGGAATAAACCATATAAAAAAGCTAAATATAAAGAAATTTTGCTATAAATACTTATTTGTCTATAGCCTATAATAACATATACTAACTTCTCAAGTAAAATTTTACTCTCAAATATGGCTACTAACCCGACACTCCAAAATATTGTATGTCTCAAAACACTTGCATTAAATATTTTAAAATTTCATTTTTAAAAAAAATTGCAAGCAATATTAATATACCTGAACTAGATCCGTGTTTGTTATGCAACCAAGAACTTTTTTATATGAAATAAAAAAGCCAATTAACTTACTTATGGCCACTTATATCATCATGATTGTATTAAAAGTTCTATCAAAATAAAGAATCAAATGTCTTATGAATAGCTATTTTTAAAGGAGATAGAATCTGTGGTTGATAGCATACCTGAAAGTCAAAATATCGATGATTTAATAGATATATCACCAACAATATTTAAAAGCCCCACATTTACGAAGAGCGATATATCAAAAGTGTACTGGAGATTATTTATTATTTCCTAATAAACTATTGGTCGTCTCATTAAGCATGATACACCAACTTGATACATTTGAATTAAAATGTAATTACACAAAATTTT